GGGGGGGGGGGGGGGTCCTGTTTCCTGTTTTATTTGGGGTCCAGTTGCCCCCCACTGTGGTCTGACTAAAGCTCTTCCTGCAAGGGACCAACAGCTGGCACATAGCTGAGGGGGGTGAACTGACTCAAAATGTCTTAGAAGCACTCATCCCTCTCCTTTACTGAACAGAGTGTCTGACTTTTTTTTTAAAGTAGGGTTTATCAAGAAGGTAGAAGAGCTGGAGGGGACCTGAAAGAGGTTGCCTGATATTTACATTTTTTTTTTTTAATGCAAGGAACTAGGACATTCATGACCTCACACATATGTTATAATGTTTCACTAATTCTTTTTTTTAAAAAAAACACAAAACTGTTTCTAAAGGAAATTTGGCAATGAACTTAAAGGGCATTGGTAAATTCTATTGTTCTTTATTTTATTTTTAACTTTAGACTTCATGGGAATTTCTGCTTAGTGAGTAATGGAGCATATGTTATACATCTCTAAGATGTATTTATACATCTATATTCATTTATCCACAGAGATGGATTTATGTTTCTCAATTTGTTTCACTGATAAAATGAGAAAAGGTAAAGAGGGACCAGGAGATATATATATATATGGGTTGGGTAGTGCATATTTAGAGATAAGACACCTATCTGTACAATTGGTTTCTTGTGTCTGTTTATTCTTTAGATTTGTTATGTTATTTTTTTAATGAAAAAGTTGTGATAGGCTGAGGTCTATCTTCTTATTCCAGGAAATAGTTAAGAACAGAATTCTTGACTTTTCATAAAATGATCTGGGATGTCCTAATTTGAAGAAAGTTAAGAATTTCAGGTAATCTTGAGAATCCTGGGTGTCTCTTAGTTAAAACTCAGCTAGTGCTGACCACAGTAACAGCAGGTGGGCACTGAGTAGGTGCTGACTGAAAAGGGAATCTACATTAACATCAGAAACTATGATTGCTCTTGCCATTACAAGATCTTGCTTCCTGACCCTGGGTTTGAGTGATCAGAGGCCACACGCAGAGCATACCACCATTTCTCTACCAGGTATCATGTCCTGGAACATAAATTTTGTTCAACAAAAAATAGAAATCTCAATCATCAGAGTTTGAAGCCTAACAAACTTATTGACAATTCTTCCTTTGGGACACAATAAAAGGCCACTAAGATCGCCTTAATGATTTGAGGGAGCGCTATATCGTGATTTCCATGGCACAGAAGGATTATGAAAAGGTCTCCATGTCTTTCCCACAGAAAAATACTAGTGTCCATTTCATGTTGACTACTTTGGTACCACAAAAGTAAATTATTTTGAACAGAGGCCAGAATGCAAGAAGACAGTGAAGCAAGGGCCAGGGGTTTTCCCGCTGGCTTAGAGCAGAGGTTGCTACTGTACTACCCATAATCAGTTTTCAGTTGAATATAAAGACCAACACAGTTGCCTAAGACCTTCATAATGTGCCTGTAAACCTATTTAGATTTTTCAGGCTCATCGATTCTTTCCTTGGCCATGTCCAGTTGACTGATGAGACCATCAGAGGTATTCTTCATTCTGTCACAGCATTTGGATTTCTAGAAATTCTTTTTGATCCTTTCACAGAGTTTCTGCTTATGTTACCCATCTGTTCTTACATATCGCCCACTTATTTCCTTAGAGCCCTTAGCATATTAATTGTAGTTGTCTTTGAATTCCCAGTATGCTGGTTTCAAAATCTCTGCCATATCTGAGTCTGTTTCTGATGTCTGTTCTGTCTCTTTGAACTGTTTTTCATATTTAGTATTCAGTGTAACTATATGTTGAAAGCAAATGTAATATACTGGGTAAAAGGGTCCAGTATGGGCTCCACAGGTGGTTTCTGGTCCTGGGCTCCTGCTCAGTAGTCTGTGGTTCTCTGTGTTCTTCTATCTCTCCAACTTTGGGGTGAGTAGTTTGTCCTGTGGATCTAAGAAGAGCTGTTGAGTTCTGCAGTTTGCTCTGCTTTTCTCTTGTTGTGATAATAGGAGTGACAGTTTCCAAGCTCTTTATATGATTAATCAGAAACTAGAAGTCCCTCATAGTTAGATGTTTAAGGAAAATAAAACTTGCTACATAAGATGTTCGTTATTAACCTAAACAGGTCGCCAGCCATGGAATGAAGGGACTATGGCTGCTCATGAGCTCTTAGTGGCAAAGTTCCTCTTGGCAAAGCACAAATCCAGTATTGATACTAGAGAGAATGGAAAGTGAAAACATTTCTTTTGGTTGAGCTTTTAAATCCTAACAACTCTGGTGACTTTTTAAAGAATGAATGAGGTGTCAACAAAAGTTGGAACAAAAGTCCATTTTCATGAACTCAGAGCACCTGCAAGTCCACACAAAGGATGGATATGGAAGTGAGGGCTTTGCATTCACATGTCTAATGACCAGGTGGTAACACTGAAATCCAGAGGCCAATGGCTATGAAGGGACAGTAAGGTATATAGTAGGAGTAATGTTTTCTTGCATTTCTATGTTGGGGCAAGACAAGGGAAGTTGAGGAAAGCCTTCCCACAGCCAGGAGTCAGCCTTTCTGACTCTTTTTAAGAACAGCAGTAGAGAAAGAGGTAGAGAGCTCTGAAGCCGGGAGTGGGAGTCATGAGGTTTGCCTGGAGGTGAGCTTGTCATAAAGCTTCCTAAAAGCTCATCAGCCCTAATGCATTTCTTGAATGTGCCTCACTGGGACAACTACATCAGAAAGGGGGTATCCATAAAAACTAGCCATATCACAGCAACAGCAGAAAAGCAAGAGGTCCAACAGATGGCACCAGCCAAGGTCACCGAGGCCATCTACTCTTCATGCTGCCCAGCACTGGTTTTCTGTGGCTGCCATAACAAATTATTATAAACGAAAAACAAAAGATACATTTGCTCTCACAGTTCTGGAGGCCAGAATGTGAAATCAAGGTGTCAGCAGGGTTACATTCCCTCAAATGCTCCAGGGGAGAATCTTTCCTTGCCTATGCAGGTTTCTGGTAGCTCTAGGTATTCTTTGGCTTGTGGCTGCATCATTCCAAACTCTGCTTCCATCTTTACATGACTTATACCTCTGGTTTCTGGATGTTATCCTCTTCTGTCTCATATAGGGAAACTTGTCATTGGATTCAGCACACACACCCCCCACCCCAGTTAATCCAGGATAATTTCATCTCAAGGTTCTTAATTTAATCACATCTGAATTCCCTCTTTTTTCCAAATAAGGCCACATTCACAGGTTCTTTTTTTTTTTTTTTGAGTTGGAGTCTCACTCTGTCGCCCAGACTGGAGTGCAGTGGCCACTTCCGGCCACCGCAGCCTCAACCTGCTGGGCTCCAGTGATCCTTCCGCCTCAGCCTTCCGAGTAGCTGGAATTACTACTCGGTAATTCGGCTATTACACAGCCATAAAAATAATGTTTTGGAGAAATTAAATGATGTTGATAAAACAAAAAATGATGTTGATAAAACAAAAAATGGACACGAACCTACCTTTTGGAGGCCACACTTCAACCTGGTCACTGTAGGACATGCGTATATTCTCCTAACAACAAAGTCTTAAGACCTGCACTCAGTGAGGCTCTGCCTTGACCACAAAATAGAATCCCTCATCATTCTCACCAACAAAGAGAACTATGTAAAAACATCCGGGGTGGGGGGAACAATACAGACTTATTTATAGTGAATCCACAAACAATTCATTATTCCTTCCCCGCCACGGATGAGGAAACAAGTTGTGTTCTGCCATGGAAAGCTCCATGGTCGACGGTCATAAAGTTTCTGGAACTTCTTGGTTCAGTTTCTGGTGTGCTGTGAAGACTGAAAATTGAATTAATTTTTCACCCACCAGCACGTTGACAGTGCAGCTCATGCGATTTTCCTTGTTCTCATCATGCATGATGGTTCTATAATCCAAGAGCCTTTCCATTAGACGTACAACGAGTTTGACAAAAGTTTCTCCCGTTTTGGCGAGGTATTTATGCTTCCTGCAGTGCTCCAAGAGGCTGAAAAATAATTATACACACCTTGTTAATCACCCTCAGAAAAAGAAACTCGACTGAGATGCAGTTTTAAATATTTTCCATTATTAACACATTTTAATTATTTCTGGGCCACAAAGTTCATCGTAGTCTAATTACAGGCTCTCTGTCTCTATCCTGACATAAATCCCACTGCTAATCAACACTTACATTTTATCAAATAACACTTTGTACTGTTCGTCTCCTCTGCCGCCTTCTACTTCATGATCCAGCTTGGTGATGATCTCATTTTCAAACTATAATTAAACAGAGGAAGCGTAAATAATCAGCATGGCGGATATTCCATTTTATGACTTGAGCATCAACAGTACATACATTGGTGCGAGATCGCCGTCAGTTACCCTCCGCCTTTGAAGGCTGATTTCGTTTCAGAGTTGCCATCCCCAAACTCCTAGAGTTTCCTGATGATCTTTGTCACAGGGGGACCTTTTGTTTCCTTCCCTGGTTCATGGAGCCTGTATGTGCATATTCTGATAACAGGAGCAAGAACCAGAAAAAGACAGACGAGGAAACCATAGGGGGAGGAAAAAAAAAATCAAGGAGCAACATCCAAAAGGCGCTTCAAACTTCATCTCTACAAAAAAGTAACATCTAAAATAGCTCATTGATTCCTGGAACAGAACAGATGGTGTTTCCCTTGCCAGCGAAGAGCTCCTGGCAATCTGAAAACATCCAGGGGGCCACTTCACCGCCATTCCTTGATAGAGCCTAGAGAAATATCTCATTCCAGTTGAAAAAAATATTAGAAAAAGAGAGAGAGGCAATGCTCCCAAAGACAGAGAAGCAGCACCTCAAGAAAGTCCATCTCCAGATTTCTCCTCCACTCCCCAAAGTTTCTGAGTGTATTTCCTGAGCGCTGGGGTGGAAAGTCCCCCAAACCCACTGTCTCTTAAACTCATCCTTTTAGAGAAAGGATGTTCTGAGGAAGTCCAGATCTCTAAAATGCCTCCAAGTGGTTAATCGGGCTGATAATAACTACACCTCAATAACAGTGCATGCCCTCCCCATCCTTACCACCCCGTCCCCCCTCCCTGGCAGAACTCATAGTTATTGGGATTCCAGCCAGGTGACCACCCGTGTGGCTGTGCCAATAGGAAGGAAGGGCTGCGAGAGGTTAGTTTCTGTAAAGAAGGAGACATTCAAACTCTAAACTAAGAGAAGATAGACAAAGGAAGAACCGAAGGAAACAACCACGGAATTCAGGGTTCAGAAAGCAAGCACACCGTGGCAAGCATGCAGTGGTCTTCAGGACCTCTTTAACAACATGATCAATCACTTGCTTTCTCAGGCGACAATCCCCAAGGCCCCGCTGTTATTTGGATCCCATCAGAATTTAAGCTGCATGACAACAAGGATTTTCTCTTCCCTGGGTCACTGCCATAGCCCCGAGACCTAGAACAGAGCCTGATGTGGATGCTCCAATGAAATGAAGGTGCTGTGTGCATAAGTTATTGAATAGAGCTGGTCTTAAGCTGAATGGAGCTGGGGAGGGCTTAATATGTCAGCAAAGGGGTGTGGGCCAGAGGGTTGCTAAATCACAATCTGCCTCTTGGCCAAGGTCATCCGGAGTGCCAGTAACAGACACTGCAGGGTAGCTGACTATGGGTCCCTAGGGGATCTGGTGAGATCCAGGAAGGGGTTACAAAGTGGCACAGATGCCCTGTCTGTGCTCGATCAGGACACGCTGTCTGCAACCTCAATTTCATCATGCTACAGAGGAAACAAGAGCTTCAAACGGGGCCAGAGAGTATTGATTCTTGCCTGACATCAAGGACTCAGTGACATCCTCACAACCCAGACCTCGATGAATCTCTCCGATTGTCTTTTTGATCTTTTCCTGGTCTCTTCCCTCAAATAAACAACTTTTTGATCCTTTCTGGCCTGAGACATTAGGGGATTTTTTTTTTTTTTTTTTTGAGTTGGAGTCTCACTCTGTGGCCCAGACTGGAGTGTGAGCGGCACCGCAGCCTTGACCTGCTGGGCTCTGGCGATCCTTCCACCTCAGCCTTCCAAGTAGCCGGAATTACAGGCATGCGCTACCACGCCCGGCTGAGTTTTTGATTTATTGTAGAGATGAGGTCTCGCCAAGTTGCCCAGGCGGGTCTCGAACCCGCGGGCTCAGGCAATCCACTCACCCCGGCCTCCCAAAGCACAGGATTACAGGCTGAGCCACTGAGCCCGGCCAACATTCAGCGATTTTAAGAACACAGAAAGAGAAATGGTTCTATTGAAGAATAACTTGCTTTGTTTTTTCACCTGCAATCTCATTACCGACTTTTACTTTAAAATAACAACCTTTTGATACTAACGACTACTCCTCTGCTCTTTACAGAAAAGAATTCTGCAAAAGATGGCTATGTTTAGAACCGAATACAAAAGAGATCCCTTGCTGGCAGCCCAAAAGTTGGCATTTCGAGGCAGTTCCATCTCCCAGATGGTGTCATGCTTGGGACTCCAAAGACTAAATGTTTGACGAGTACTAATGCTTCAGAGGCAATAACTGAGTTACAAAATAAAACTAAGTTTAATTCAAACATATGATTCCATTTCGCAGATGTCTAATGAGTACAGACAACAAAGAAGATACAGAGAAGGCAAAAACACATGCCTTCTCCTAACACGGGCAAACACACAGGCATTTAAAATCATCCATCACATGTCAATCAGAAGGTATTTGAACTTGGCATCTACTTTATGAAAACTGCATGTTTTCTTTGCTTCCATGTAAATCTAGCTGTCACAAACACTGGCAATGAGGAAGCCACAGCTACTTAAGTATGCCACTTATCACATTTTGACTGATGAATTTAATGTTTTCTAAAAAGAGTGAATGAATGATAAGTAAATCAGAACACAGCTGATTCTAATTTTACTAACCTCTAGTCTAAACTAAGTGATTTATCCAAACACCTGGCAACCCTATTCTGTTTATCAGCAAAGATTCAATACCAAAGATCTGCAGCTAGCCTCTAATTCCAGGATCTTCGTTAGTTTTTATAGAATACACTAGAATCAATTGGCTAGTGTGCTGTGAACTGTTCCCATAATCAGAATTAAACAATTCTGTCCAAACAAATTGGAGACAGTACATTTGCCAATAGAGCAGGGCTGGTTTTATAAAAATCAGGTTTATTATTTTACTCGTAAACATGTTGTCTGGTGATTTGTAATTGAGTTCTCTATGGTTAGGATAAAATTAGCAAGGGTTTATTTACCATGCCGCTCAAAAGGTGGCAGGGCTCACTTGTGTTATAAAAAAAAAACAACAAACCCGTTATGGTTTCTTCTCTTTTCTGAATCGCCAATTTTGCTACGAAAATATCCACAGGGTATCCAACTTAAAGTATTGAGCAGAAAGTCTCTAAGCATCTGATACCAGCAGCCCTCTGAGAACATGAAATGTAAGAGGACACTTATGAATATATGATTTTTGGAGAGTTGCTGTTACATTGAAAGCGACGGAGTAGGGGGCTGTGCTCCAAGTGATACTGACGTCTTATTAATTCATTTAACTTAGAAAGGAACCACTGCTTTTGTCAATCGCTGCCACAGTTAGCCATAGGTTATTGGTACCTATTCCAGAGATCACGGAGAGAAAGATCACAGTCGTGGCTAACCCAAAAGCCAATTACAGTTGATTTGGAATGCATAATTTTGGGGGTCAGATTTACCATTCTCATTCTAATGTATTCACAGAGATATAAAACCAGGCCTGCACCTTGCAGGCACTCCAGAATCATGCTTTTATGGAAGAGATTCTGGGGTTATATATGAGTGCAGTAGGAAGCTGGACCAGGGTGGAAAGGTTTGCACAAATAATTCACCACATTTCTGGAGGGCTCAGAGGTTATCAAGAGCTGGGCAAGATCTGAAATCTATGGACATGGTCTGCTAAGTACATTGGCAAAAGGGTTTCTTTGACCCTTTACAAATAAACCTTAGTAAACTGTTTCTCCTGGCCCAAAGTGCTCTATTTTTATTTTTTCAAGAAAAAAATGCTCAGAAGATACTGAAGGTAGAGCATGGTGTTTGACTACCTCCTGGTTCCAGAGGGCACCAAAAAATCAGACACTCTCTCTGCCGTCACCCCCTTTAGCTGGAACTGGGCCAATCCGACGGAACCGCCAGTCGCATGTTTCCCCTTAGTATTTACGAACGGTGGGTGGGAGGAAGTCGCTGGACTACATCTGGATGGAAAACACGGCCAAGAAGAAGGAACTGGCAAGGGCGGGCAGAGAGAAACCTGGCACCTCAAAACCTTTGGGGCACCGGCTCCCATGTTGACATCCTCGAAGTTACTGGTCCCTCCCAATTTATTGCTCAGCCTTGAATCTTATGCTGAGACACACTCATATCTTTATGTATAGAGCATTCCTCCTGCCTAACCACTCTGTAAACTTAATTATACACTTAATTAATTGCTGGCACTCCATCCCAGATTAGGAAACCTCCACATCCTCCTACCTCCAGCAAGCGGGCGGCTCGCTGACCTTGGGGCTTTTGTGAAACACTCATGATCCCGGAGGGCCCACAGGCGTCCAGTTGGGCAGCTGCCTGTCACGAGGTCTTAAGACCCCGCCAACACCTGAGACAGGTACAGCTGCTCCCCATTTCTACATGACACAGACTGAGGAGAGACTGTGGGATGCATGCAATGACGGTGGATTCCAGGAACATGGCAGGAACTCATGGTGAGTCCCGTCTAATTTGGTTAAAGGAGATTATGGGAATTTGAGTATCTTTTTGCTGGAGGGCTTTCAATCATGAAATTCAATGTCATCAGAAATCCTGGAGTCAGGAATATTGGCTTCCGTGATCACCGTTGGGTTTGGATTCAACGAAATAGAAACCCAATTCTCGTGCCATATTTCCTCTTTAAGCACCCAAAGCGATAAAATCAAATACAATTTTGAAGTTGAAAGCGAAAATAAACAAACTAACAAATAAAAGCCCGATACATTAAAGAATAAACAAGATAAAACTGCCACCAAACTCATTCACATTCATATTCCCGGGCAAAATATATTGGCCTTTCCACCAAGTGGCAGAGGCCTGCCAACATCCACTTGGGTTATTCAATTACTTGCTTAAGGTTACCGGCATGGGCAGTGAGAGGAGATTATTCAAACAGGAACTCAGAAACACTGACGACACAAAGATTACTCATGTTCTAATACTGTTACAACTAAATGGGGATTTCTGGAAGTTGTGGAGCATTTTACTGAGCCTCACAAAG